TGAGCAAGTCTGTGAATTATTGGCAGGAGCTGTGGTTCTCAGATTGTGCGACGGTGTTCAGGTGACGTGAAAACAGCAAGCAAAGCATCTGACATTACTAAAGTACCTCTGAGCAAGTCTGTTGAATGGTTGCCTCGACCTGTATATGCGACAGTGTCTAGTACACCAGCTCAGACACAAGTAACAACTCTTGACAATGGCCTGCGTGTGGCATCTGAGCCAAAGTTTGGCAACTTCTGCACAGTTGGAGGTAAAAATTGAATCCCTTGGGAAATGGATACTGATGTTTGAAATTAGAACTTGTATACTTTTAGTTTTTCCATGAATACAATTTGTAATAGGAGAAATTATGTTTTTATTTTATTTATTAGGTATTTTTTTATAACAAAAGGAAAAACAACAATCAATATTGCCATAAGGAACTGTTTTAATTTTATAACCTTTCATTAGTTTATTCACTGTATCTTGTATCTTATATGGTAATTATTTTGATTTTTGTTTATATACCTCTTTAATTATTAGATAGAAAAAGAATGTCTAGGTTTTTCATAAAGAATATGATAGAAAGGGATTCATAATATTTGAACAATGAATTTTCTGTAATATCACTAGAAGTGGCATCTCAATTCATTTAATGATTTTATTTATTTATTTTATCTACATTATCCTTAATTCTAATTTTGCTTGAACTTTTACAGTTGTCATTGACAGTGGCAGTAGATATGAGGTGGCATATCCAAGTGGAATCTCTCACTTCCTTGAAAAACTTGCTTTTGGTGTAAGTTTTGTGGAAAATGTTGTTTTGGTAAATGATTATAGAAATATTTTCAGGTAATAGAAAGCTAAATAATTAAAAGAGTCATTTTATGATTTATCTGAAAAGATGTTTCCTTTACATTCAGCGGACCGTTAACATGACCCGCGATGACATCATGGGAAAGTTTGAGAGACTTGGCGGGATTTGTGACTGCCAGTCTTCGAGGTAGGTTATTTTTCTCACTTGCTCTTGTAAAAGGACTGCAGTTTAGACTAATCATGTACACATCACTGAAATATGTGTTAAGACATTATAGTTTGATCTAAAAGGATAATACTCAGAAAAAAAAATTAGTATATTAGTGTGAAAATACTAAAAAAGAAAAGGAACTTATGCTTCCTTATGACTCCTTAACTGATGTAAGGTATTTACACTAGTCTAGGACATGGGTTTCCAACCTGTGGTACATGCACTGCTATTGGTATAGTAATGTATATATATGTATAGTTTTTTACTCTTGGCATGATAGTATCCCTGAGTATCAATAGTGTTGGGACTGGAACACATATTCAGTATAAGTAAATATGACTCCTGAACCTGTTTCATAGGTAACATCTACATTTTTACTTCATTTTAGTAAGTTGATCAATTTTTACTCATCTGTTAAAGAGAAATGAACCAGAAGTTTTGTTTTAATTTAGCTAACTGTCAACAGAAACCGAGCCACTTGCCACAAAGTATTATGCCAGTATATTTTCATGGTACTTGTTGGCTATTATACAAGTTCATTACACCTGCTAATTTTATCTTTTGTGCAAAATTCTCAGTTATTTTACGTGCCATAAAGGAAAGAGTGTAGCAAAGAAAATGGGCAAGGAAGGAAAATCCATATATATTGAAAGACAATATTTTATTCATAATAATTAGGGATAATAGTAAACCATTAAAATGTGAAAGGGGCACACTGTATCAAACATGTTGGGAATCCCTGGTCTAGGGTGGTTGCATCATGCAACATTTGGTTCAGGAATTTCAGTAATATATCGACATTTTCACACATGGATATCGTTTCTTAAATAACGAACACAAAGAATAGTTTTATGGATCTATTTTTGACACTTGTTGTACACCACAATTACAACCAAATTTCATAATTGTACAGTTCTCAGTATATTTAGGAAGAGTATATAGCCTAGCGTAGTATAATAATATACCACATTTACATATATGGAAAACAATCTCCTTGACAGGGACACATTTATTTATGCTACTTCAGTGGAATCCAAGGGTATGCCTGAGGCTGTAGAAGTGTTAGCGGAAGTTGTCCTCCGTCCTCAGCTGCTGCCTGAAGAGGTATGACTTAAATAGCCTGAAGGACATTGAAAGCTGGATGTCACTTTCCTTCATATATATTTGCCTTTTTTTCATATACATAGTCAGCACAAAAATATTGTTATAACAATTTGAATCATCACATTCATACATGGTATTCATAAATGAGTCTCGGATGAATATCAAAGTAAAATGTTTTAGGTAGCAGGCTTATAAATTAGTCAATAATTAATAAAAACAACAGGTTACAGATGCAAGAATGGCAGTGACTTTTGATCTGGAGGACCTGCAGCTCAGGCCAGAGAAGGACACTTTGCTGATGGAAATGATACATGCTGTAAGTTATGATGCACTTTTTAATGATGGATTTGATGTAAAATGCATTGCAAAGATATTGCACTTAATCCACAGAAGTTGCAAAATATTTGCTGAGTATAGAAATAGTGTCTTTTCTTTCTTTCTTTCTTTTTAATATGAATGCATTTCTTCTTGTTCCCCTTTGGCTTGTATTGTTTTTTTGTTATTCTTAGTGTCATTATTATTATTATTATTATTATTATTATTATTATTATTATTGTTATTATTGTTGTTGTTATTGTTATTATTGTTGTTGTTATTGTTATTATTATTATTATTATTATTGTTATTATTATTGTTATCATTATTGTTGTCATGATTATGGTTATCATCATTGTCATCGCCACTGTCATCATCATTGTTATTGTTGTTTTTATTATTGTTTTTGTTGCTGTTGTTTATATATATATATATATATAAGATAAACTTAATTTTTTTTTTGTAATGATAATGATGATAATCATTATCACATTTATATTTATCATCATCATTACCGTTTATATTTGTTATGATCATCAAGATATTCCTTTCTTTTGAAAACAGGCTGCATACAGAGACAACACGCTTGGGCTTCCCAAGATCTGCCCACCAGAGAATGTGATGAAGATTGACAGGTCCACCCTCTTCACCTACCTGAAGAAACACCACACTCCCTCCCGCATGGTTCTAGCAGGTGTGGGGGTCAACCACGATGCTCTCGTCGAGTGTGCACAGAAGTAGGTTCCATGGGTCGGATGTCTCAAGGAGTCAGCTATTAGTCTTATCTATCTCAGTAATCCTCCTTTCACCAGGTTACTCCTTGCTCCCAGGTGTCAAGATATATATATGAAATCCAAGTTTTGTAGTACATTTCAAGGGTTGGGAGCCCAATGCAAAGGGTGGCAGCCATAAGGGGGTAATCTGGGGATGTGGGAAGCAAGGAGAACGTCAGCCATTTTTTCTTCCAACAGTCTTGCATTAACCCATTGCCGATGGGCATGTCAGGAATGTCCATGTCATGCCCACTGTGAGTTTACTTGTTTAATTGTTTTTAAACATAGATGGCTACATTTGTACCAATGTCACCAATGAGCCAATTATAAGAACTGCCAGTCTCGCCTGTTTACCCTTTTCTTTAATTTACAAAAATATTTTACATTATCTTATTTTGCTATTACTAATGTTTATCACATTATAGTGATTATAATGTTTATGATAAAAATAACAACATCAATATTCATAGCACTAGTAAAATATACATTTTCCCACCAATTCAAGGAAAAGTGAAATCAGTTAAGGCAAGCAGTAGCAGAGCCATCTATGTGCAGAGAAATTTCACAAAAATATAAGAAAGAAGCACAGCATTTTCCCCATTTTTTATTCATTTTCCCCGGCAGCAATTGGTTAACCCATTGCCGCTGGGGAAAATGAACAAAAAATGGGGAAAATACTGTACTCATTTTTTATATTTTTGTGAAATATCTCTGTTCATAGATGGCTCTGCTAGCCCTGATTTCACCTTTCCTTGAATTGGCGGGAAAAAAAGTATTCTTACTAGTGCTATAAATATAGATGGTGTTATTTTTAACAGTAAATTAAGATAACGTTAAACATTTTCATAAATCGATGAAAAGGGTGAACGGGAGAGACAGGCAGTACTTGAATTGGCTCATTGGTGACTTAGTACAAGCGTAGCCATCTATGTATAAAAAAGATCAAACAAATTGACTCAAAGTGGGCATGGCATGTACGTACATGCCATCCCCGGCGGCAATGGGTTAAACAGCTGACTCTTCGACTTGACCTGATGTGCTTGCATTTCCATTTACTTGAGCACACGTGCCCTTCGTTTACTGTGTTGTGTTTCCCCCTCTCCCTCTTCTCCTTCTTCTTTTCCCCCTTCTTCTTCTTCTTCTTCTCCTTCTTCTTCATCTTCTTCTTCTCCTCCTCCTCCTCCTCCTCCTCCTCCTCCTCCTCCTCCTCCTCCTCCTTCTTCTTCTTCTCCTTCTTCTTCTTCGTCTTCTTCTCCTCCTCCTCCTCCTCCTCCTCCTCCTCCTCCTCCTCCTCCTCCTCCTCCTCCTCCTCCTCCTCCTTCTTCTCTTCCTCATGTACTTAAATAGTTCTGCTTTCTCTTCCCATTGCAGACACTTTGTGGACCATCCAGCCATCTGGGAAATGGAGCCAGCATTGGGGAGCTCTCGCACCATTGAAGTGGATCGGTCAGTGGCTCAATACACGGGCGGGATTATTAAGGTAACTTTTTTTTCTACTGTGTTCTTTGTGTTCAAATTATATTTATATATGCTTTCATCACTGACACTTCATGCCAACTCAAATATATATAGTGTATGTATATATATGTATATTTATAACATATATATATGTTATAAGTATTAGTTAAAAAAAAAAAAAAAAAAAAAAAAAAAAAAAAAAAAAAAATATATATATATATATATATATATATATATATATATATATATATATATATATATATATATATATTTATATTATATATATTTATATATATATATATATTTATATATATATATTTATATATATATATATTTATATATAT